GGGGTAATGACGAAAATTTACAAAAAGGCAGATGAAAAGCCATAAATTTCAACAACAACAACAACATACCGAACAAAATCCCACAAGTGGGGTCTAAGGAAGGTGGTATGTACGCAGCCTTACCCCTACCTTATGAGGGTAGAAAAGCCATAAATTTCTAAATGCACATAAATCCATGAAAGTTGATGAAGAAAATCTTGAACCAAAAACAATCAGTTAATTTACCTCCAACAGCATTAATATCCACACTTCCAAGAAGCTGCTCCTTCCATCTTCTCAAACTCTCATCATCCTAAATTCCCAAGGAATGAACATACAAATCATTTCTTACAAAAAAAAAACACATATGAAAAAGCACAATTAAGCACCAAGAACATGCTCCTTCCATTGTTCAAACTCCCATCATCCTAAATTACCAAAAAATGAACATATAAATCACAGCTTACAAGCAAAAATACAAATGAAAAGCATACAATTAAGCACCAAGAACCTGTTCCTTCCATCTTCTCAATCTCCCATCATCATGAATTCCCAAAAAATGAACACACAAATTACAACTTACAAACAAAAAAAAGAACATATGAAAAGCATACAATTAAGCACCAAGAACCTGTTCCTTACATTTTCTCAACCTCTCATCATCATAAATTCCCAAAAAATGAACATACAAATCACATCTTACATACAAAAAAGCATATGAAAAAACATACAATTAAGCACCAAGAACCTGTTCCTTCCATCATTGTCAAACTCTCATCATCCAAAATTCCCAAATAATGAGCATACAAATCACAGCTTACAGTCAAAACAACATATGAAAAGCATACAATTAAGAAAGAACCTATTCCTTCCATCTTCTCAAACTCTTATCATCCTAAATTCCCAAAAAATGAACATACAAATCACAAGCTTACAAACAAAAAAACATATGAAAAGCATATAATTAAGCACCAAGAACATGTTCCCTCTGTCATCCTAAATTCCCAAAAAATGAACATACAAATCATATCTTACAAACAAAAACCACATAAAAAAAACAGTCAATTAAGCACCAAGAAAACACAAAGATTCAATTTTTTTCAAAGACACCTTACCTTATCTTTCTCAAATTGTTCTTTGAGAGTACATTGAGGACCCAACTCAATCTTATTAGTATTTTCATCTTCATCTTCATCCTCAGTAGTATACATTGAACTTTCACTCATCTGTCTGCTAACTTTATTCTCATGAACCTCATGTTCAATCTCAGAATCAGAATCAGCGATTCCACCTTTCTTTCCCTCACAAACAGGGGCTGATTCCTCTTTACCCTCCTTGTTTTTGTCATCAAAACCCATACTTTCTAATCTAAACAATTTCACTCAGGAATTTTATCAAACAGGTTCTTGACATGAACCAAAAACAAGTTCTTGACAAGAAATTTTACACACAATTTAAAAAGCCTTACCACTTCACGTTAATTTCACTCAACAAGAAGATAATAACAGAACTAGAAAATTCCAAAAAGAAATTCAAGAAACCTAAAAAGAATCAATCTTTATTAAAATACAAGAAGTGGGTCATCATAAAAAATACATATAGATGAAGGAAAAAGTGGTAAAAAGAAAAAAACCGAATACCCAGAAAGGATAAAAGTGGTTAAAGAGGAAAAATACACCAAGAGAAAAATAATAGATGAAAGGGAAAAAACAGAGAGAAATGAGGGGTTATTTTGAGGAAGTTAATAAAAGGCGCCATAAAGGAAGTAGTCCTATGGTGATCCGAATATTTGGAGATATAATAATAATAATTAATTTGATCGACTATATAAACAGACACTCAAATTAAGCATTAAATATAAAAAAATAATAATTTAGATATATTAATTTGATATCAATTGATACTTAAATATTTTAATTTTTACTCACGATGTCTCGTGGACACACGATACTAATGTCGCATTAATCTTATTATGTAATAACTCCTAATAAATTATTTAAATTATCTTAGTATATAGTCATATTATATTATTGTAGTTTGATGTAAGTGGACAAAACCGTTACTTTTAACTTTTTCTGGTCGTTGTTTATAGATTCACATGCAAAGCTAGACTGGATTTAGATTGGGACACTTGTCTTTTTCTTTCTTTTACTTTTTTAAACTAAAGTTATATATCAAATTAAAGGGAAAATAATTTTAATACATATGGTAACATTTAGACATTTCAATTCATCATCATGTACCAGTTGAACATTTTAATTTATAAAATAATTATTTAGATATTTTAAAAAAAATTATATGTCACGTTAGTCTAGGAGGTCAATGAGACAATAGTAAATTGTTAATAATGAGATTCAAAATTTGGATCATTTAACTTCATACCCTAAATAGCAAATAATTGTTCTTACATTTCTACAATTTACAAATTTTATTTCTATTTTATTTTTATAACTTCAGTAGAAACAAAACAGTGTTCAAGATCTATAGTGTTATTAATTATGTTTTCCATTTGTCATTTACCATGAAACATATTAATATATTATATCATTTAATGAATAGATTTGACACTTCATGTGACCCTTCTATGAATTTTCACGTGAATTTCAATTTGGGATAATTTTGTCTATACCATTTGTGATCCACATTAATTTTGCATACGATTTTATCCTACACTAATATGCTCCCTTCGTATTATTTGTTGTATTTTTCTTTTATATGTTTCTTAAAAGATATTTTTTTAATCACAAATTATCTATCGTGCTTTCTAAAATAGTTATTTCAAATTATTATTTTGAAGTTCAAAACAAAATTAATTATTTTCTTTATAGTTCATCGTTGTAGACATTGCTTTGAACACTATACAAATTAAACACCTCAATTGTATTATGAGATGGTGTTACAATTATTTAAATATCAATAAAGGGTAAATTAGTTAAAAGCACCTCTTAATTAATATTTTTCAAGACACATGTAAAAGAAAATCACAACAAATATATTGAGATAGAGGAAATATTAACTAGGACTTTTTTTTTTGGAGAGGAGGGGGTCTATTTTGCCCTTATTTATGTGTTAAAATATAATATTTTTTCTTTAAATATTTACTCTATTAAGGTAGATGTTTTGTAATTTTTAAGAGAAATTAGTAGTAAAAGTAAAATGAGAAAAAATAACTAATTTTGTTTTGAACATTTAAAATAAGAATAACAAATAATTTATCAAGACAACTTTTTAAAATCACAATAGATAATTTAAGGGGACAAAATGAAGTAAATAATTTCGTTTTGGGGGATCCTTTTGCATTTAAAGTAAATAATTACTACTAAGTTTGGTGACACAATTAATTTCAGTCTTTTCAAATGAGAAATATCTATGAAATCAATTGTAATATAGCTTACAAAAAGTTTATTTTCGTTTATTACGAGCTTACAAGAAGTTTTTATAATGAAAGGAAGTGGAGGTTTGTTTTTAATCAGTGAAATATTAATATCGTTAGTTTTTGAAATTCGACATTCGATTCAGAAGTGTTATGAACCAATTTGATACAAAACAACTCAAAAGATTAAAAAATATCATTAATTTTTTCATGCTTGTTTGAAAACTAATTGATAACCACTTTTAAAAAAATAAAACTTATAACTGTAATTTGTAATAATTAAGGCTGATAATAAATCTCTGTGTACTCTATAATAATAAGATGCATTTGAAAATAATTCTTCGAATTGATCATACATTCTATTGATATATAAGCAGTGGCGCAGCCAGAAATTTTATGAAGGGGGTCCAAATTTGAATAGTAATTTTTTTTTTAGAAAATGATGATTTATAGAGATTCTATTTTTAATAATATTATGATATAATTTGGGTAAATGAGTCTCCTATTTATAGAGAAAGAAAACATTATTCCAAAAGGAAAATATATTAAAATTTAAGAAAATCTTATTCCACAAAGGAAAAATGTATTAAAATATAAGGAAATCTTATTCCACAAGGAAAATATATTAAAATTTAAGGATTTTTTTTTCAATTAAAACCTTGTTCCAAAAGGAAAATGTATTAAAATTTAAGAAAAAAGTATTAAAATATAAGGAAGTTTTATTCCACAAAGGAAAATGTATTAAAATTTAAGGAAATAATTCAGTTTTAATTGAAAAAAAAAATCCTTATTGGATGTTAGATTCGAACTTGAGTCACTCAAGACAAGCATGACACTATTTACCACCAAGCTACTGAACATTTCTGTTAAAGTTACGCATGCAGGGAATTGAACTAAGGCAGCGAGTGGGCTTATGACAGCTCTAGCCATCTCCACTGCAGGTTACTTCGTTATATTAGAGTGTCCAAAATATCATATATATCAATATAAGTCAAAACTTTACGTGCATATATTGTATAATTTTTTGACGAAGGGTGACCAATTGGACACCCTGAAAAAGGTGGCTCTGCCCCTGTATATAAGTCTCCGTTTAAATTTTAAAAAATCTTAATAAACATTAAATTTAATGAGTCATAGTGAACGAACTAACATGACTAAAACTTAATATCGCTTATTTTTAAAAAAAATTATCATGCCAAAAAAGATGAATAATAGAGAAGTTGGAAAGAGAAACATGCGAGACTCTTTCTTGAAAGATGTAATTGATAATTAATTATCAACTTATTCTCTTAATTTGTTTTGCTTTTTTATCTTATTATATTTTTATTTATATAGAGTAATAGTCACACAAATCATATTCCGTCGCTATTTAACGTGAAAAAAAATTATACTTATTTTCTTCCCAATGCAAAAGATTATTAATAATTATAATTGTAAATTAATTATTGCATCAAATTTCCTAAAATTTTCTTTGATACATATTTTAAGTTGGTTTTTCGATCTCAATGGCGGCTGGCAACCAGTCATTGCCGGTGACTAGATTGCTAACATTGACAGAATTTCCCCCACTAACTGAGAAGAGCGATGACGTTTGCAAAATAAATTCACCTCACAAAACCCTATATGCTGATACAATTAGACCTACGAATACAATAACAAAAAAAACAGAACCAGTTTTGATAAAACCAGTGACTATAGTTGAAGGTATACCAAGGATCAAATGGACCGAATCAGAAGTGGAAAGAATGAATATCAAACAGAATCTGGAATTTGCTATCATTGGCAAATTTTCATATGGATGGCCAGATTTAGAGTTTTTAAGAAAGGCAATTCCATCTCAGTGTGGAATTAAGGGGGAGTGCATGGTTGGCCTGTTACGGAATCGACATGTTCTGATTCGTCTCTCATATATGGAGGACTATATCAACATAATATCAAAAGGGGTATATTACATAACTTGCAATGAAGGATATTCATATCTAATGAGGACTCTAATCTATGATTCTAAGTTTAGGGTGGAGGAGGAAACATCGAGATCCATGGCATGGATTTCATTTCCGAATCTACTACCAACATTCTTCGAGAAGGAGTCCCTCTTTTCCCTGGCTTCAGCAGTAGGTATTCCTTTGCAACTAGATCAGGCCACTATCAACAAGACTCGGCCAAGTTGTGCCAGAGTCAAAGTTCTGGTGGATCTTCGTGCAGACCTGCCAAAAAAAGTTTACATGGATATTGAGAATGAGAAAACAGGAGAAACAAGATCTCAAGCAGTTCACATAAGATATGACTACATTCCTAAATATTGTGAGGAATGTAAATTACAAGGACATAACAAACAAGAGTGTAGAATTTTAAATCCTGAACCACAGATGATTGACAAGGACAGGAAGTTGAAGGAGAAAATACATTTTCCTGGCAGACCTGAACATCAACAATTTCAGAAAGGAAAAGCAAGGGTGCTGTCCAGTGGAAAAGTGGTGGGTGACCCTGGAAACTGGAAAATTATAAATGATCGAAGGCTTCCTCAAGCAGTTAGTACCCAAGTAGAGGTTCCTGTCAGCAACATGTTTGATATTCTTAACAATGATGAAGTTGAAGCCAACAGTACAAAAAGTCCCAACAATGACAGTGAGCAAGTAGAGAAAAAGGCGGGTAAGAGTGATAGAAAAGAGGAACAAGAAGCAGACAAGGCAACAAAGGTGCGAATTGGAACAGTAATGCATGATTCTACAGTGAATGAAGCTATTCGGGCAACAAGTGGGTTAAATGAAAACAATAAGGGTAGTATGACAAAGCAACAACAACTAGGTGATACCAGTAGAAGCAGCAACATCGCTTCAGACAATGGAAATCGTGCACAACAAGTAATTTCTACTAAGGAGTGGATAAATTCAGCATTTGCAAACCACAATAAAAAAAATGAAGAAATTAACAAGACGATTGATGTGGTAAATGAAAAAGAACTTAGCAACGGGTTAGGGGCAGTTGAAATTCAGCAAGGAGATGATATTGTTATAAGTGACCAGATGCAAGAGGATAGAAGTAATGACAGTATGGCAATAGTTGAAGTCCCTACAACAGTGCAAACAGATGATAGTTTTATGTTGATGTACACAGAGTCGCCTAATTCAACTTTGCATGACATTCTTACTCATAAGATTGTTGAACCAGACCCAGACCCAGAAGCTATAGAAGATGCTAAGTTGATTGACAGTGCAATAGAATCAGAAGTAAATGAGGCACAAATATACAAAGATGCAGATGTATCACCTAGGGTTGCTAAAGCAATGAAATCAGCTAGGAAGGGTAAAAACCAGGGTAATGGAGACTCAGCCCAATTAATTAGAGTGCAACCAAAGCGGAAGGTGTTTTCTCAATACTCAAGATGATGATTAAAGCTCTTATATGGAATATTAGGTCTGTAAAGACACAAAAAGCATTTCAAAGAGTGCAAATGTTGCACAATTATCATAAGTTTGCTTTTGTGGCTCTATTGGAACCTTTTCAGCATGTTAGATTCATCAATAGATATAGAAGAAGGCTCAAAATGCCTAAGGCAATGCATAATTGCAATGGAAATATATGGATCTTTACTAACCATGGGTTTGATGTGACAGTGGTGAGTGATTCTCAACAACAACTCACAATTTTGTTACAAAGTCAATCTCTTAACAGCAACATATATGCTACTATAGTGTATGCTAAGTGTGATGCTTCTAGGAGGATGGAGTTGTGGGATGACATTTACTCATTAGCCAATGGAATGAGTAGTCCGTGGCTAATTGGTGGTGATTTTAATGTAGTGCTAAGTGGAGAAGAGAAAATAGGAGGTCTTCCGGTGGTAGATTCTGATCATGAAGATTTCAGAACTTGTATCGAGTCATGTGAGCTTGCACAAGTGCATTTCAAGGGTAGTCCATTTACTTGGTGGAATGGTAGGTCAGGCAGTGATTGCATTTTTGAAAGGCTTGATAGAATCTTGTTGAATTTTGAAATGCAAAATATCTTTCCTCATTTTGAGGTAGATCATTTACCTAGAACAGGGTCGGATCATGCCCCTTTGGTACTCTCTTGTGAAGATAGAAGGATCAGATTTAGGAAACCATTTAGGTTTCTTAAATTTTGGACAGAACATGCATCTTTCAAGGATGTGATTAGGCAACAATGGGATACTGATTGCTCTTCTAATTCATTTTTGAACTTTAAGCTAAAGATCAAAAAGGTTAAGACTGCCCTAACTTCCTGGAGTAGGGAGACGTTTGGTGACATTTTTCAACAACTTATCATTAGAGAGGAAATAGCGAGAATTAAAGAGAAGTTATTTGAAGAGGATCCTTCTAGTGAGCATAGATCTGTCATGCAAAGAGCAAAAGCGGAGTATAATAAGTATCTACATTTTGAAGAAGTTTATTGGCAACAAAAAGCTGGATATGAGTGGTTTGTTAATGGTGATAGAAATACCAAATTCTTTCAGAGTTTGGTGAAAGGTAGGAGGCAGAAGCTTAAAGTGAATAGAATTCAAAATTCACAGGGTGTCTGGCTAGAGGAGGAAGGAGAGATTTCTTCAGAAGCAGTAGATCATTTTCAAAAGCAATTCACGCAAGAAAGAGATGCTACAAGCTTTTCTTTATTATCTCATATTCCTGAGTTGATTAGTGCAGAGGATAATATTTTGTTGAGTGGGAGTCCTGATAGTGAAGAGGTTAAACGTGCAGTTTTCAAGCTTAATGGGGATAGTGCTAGTGGCCCTGATGGACTCACTGGTACATTCTACCAAGTCTGCTGGGATATTATTGGGTCAGATATTGTAAGAATGGTGAAAGATTTTTTTGTTGGGAACACTCTTCCAAAGTCTATTACTCATACTAATTTGATTCTCATACCTAAAAAGGATAACATACAAACCTTCTCAGATATGAGACCTGTTAGCCTGAGTAACTTCATAAACAAGATTCTGTCAAGAATTGTGCATGACAGACTAGAATGCATGTTACCAAAGTTGATATCTTCTAATCAATCAGGTTTTGTCAAAGGAAGGAGCATTATTGAGAATGTTCTTCTTACACAAGAGGTGATTACAGATATTACCAAAAGAGGAAAACCTGCAAATGTGGTCATTAAGCTGGATATGGCTAAAGCTTATGATAGAGTTTCTTGGTTTTTCTTGATGAAGGTGTTAAAGAAGATGGGTTTTTCTAATACTCTGGTTGATATAATTTGGAGGCTGATCTCTAACAACTATTACTCAGTTTTGCTCAATGGGCAATCTCATGGTTTTTTTCATTCTACAAGGGGAATGAAGCAGGGAGATCCTCTCTCTCCTGCTCTTTTTATTATATCATCAGAGGTTCTTACTAGGGCTCTCAACTCTCTATTTGATGATCCCCGATATGTTGGATATGGGATGCCAAAGTGGAGTGTTAATCTGAATCATCTTTCTTATGCTGATGACACCATTATCTTTGCTTCTTCTCATTCATATTCTTTGGAAAAAATTTTGGTTACTTTGCAGGAATATGAGAAGCAATCAGGACAGAAGGTGAATAAAGAAAAGAGTTTCTTTTATTTACATCAAAATGTGGCTGCAGGGATCGCTCAACAAGTGGAGCATAGCACAGGCATGAGGAAGGGAGTATTCCCAATGAAATATTTAGGATGTCCCATCACTCATGGTAGGAAAAGGAAAGAACATTATTCAGAATTGTTGAACAGAGTGAAAGGTAGAATTCAAGCATGGAAAGGAAAGATGCTATCTTATGGCGGTAAAGAGGTTCTTCTATCTAGTGTTCTTCAAAGCACTCCCATTTATACCTTATCTGCTATAACCCCTCCTATGTGTGTGATTAAGGAACTTCATAGGATTTTTGCTAGATTTTTTTGGAGTAACAAGGAAACAGGAAGGAGCAAGCATTGGTCTGCGTGGAATAAAGTTTGTTTTCCAAAGCAGGAAGGTGGACTTGGTTTCAGATCTATGTTTGATGTCTCTCAGGCCATGTATGCTAAGTTGTGGTGGAGGTTTAGGACACAAAATAATTTGTGGTCCAATTTCCTTTGGAATAAATATTGCAAGAAGCAAATTCCTACTCTTGTTGAATGGAAAGGGGGATCTCAAATCTGGAAACATATGCTAGAGAACAGGGAGATTATCGAGCAGCACTTATGGTGGGAACCAAAGGGGGGTACTTCTACTATATGGTATGACAATTGGTCTACATTGGGCCCTCTTCACCTACTTCCTTTAGAGAGTCAAACATGCCATCCTATGAGAGATATTGAAGAATTTATAACAACTGATGGCTGGGACTTTGAAATTATGAAGAATTATGTTCCAGAGTATGTGGTGAATCATGTCACACTGAATTTGTGTAATGTTAAGCTAAGTGGACAAAGTGATAAACCGTGGTGGACTAAAACTAGCACTGGAAAATTCAGTGTTAAAAGCGCTTGGGAATTGTTGAGGCAAAGAGAGGATATCAATGATGATTTTAATCTTTTATGGATGAAAGGATTACCTTTTAAATTCTCCTTTCTTACTTGGAGAATTTGGCAAGGTAAGGTTCCTGTAGCTGTTGTCATGCATTCATGGAATCATAATATTTCTCAATTGTGCAGATGTTGTTCTATCCCGGAGAGAGAAACAATTGAGCATTTATTTCTAAAAGGTGAAATTGCATCTATTGTATGGAATTATTTTGGTAGAGCAGCAGGATTGACTGGCTCATTTGTTCAACTGAAGCAGTCAGTGAAAAAATGGTGGGGTGCAAGTGGAAATACAAGATTAAATGTGGTATTTCAAGCTGCACCTATTGTGATTCTATGGTTTCTATGGAAAAGGAGAAATACTATCCTTCATGGAGGTTCTTATTCAGTTGGTAAAGTTAAATGGGAGATCACTGACACTATTTTGAAATTACTCAAAGAGAGATTTAATTGGGACTTCGGTTCCAATAATTGGCCATTGTTAATAGCATCTCTAGAGGGATACAAAGCTAATCACATCAGTAAGATTGTTAGATGGTTCCCTCCTCCTACTGGTTGGCTAAAATGTAACACGGATGGGGCTTCTAAAGGGAATCCTGGACCTAGCTCTGCAGCGTTTTGCATTAGAGATCAGAATGGGAATTTTCTGGCTGCTAAAGGAGTTAAAATGATTGATTCTACTAATTTAGTGGCAGAAGCAAGAGCTATTAGAGAGGGATTGATGTTTTGTAAAGAGAATAGATTGACTAACGTACTGATAGAGACAGACTCTCTAGCAATGGTTAATATCATAGAAGGGAGGTGGGAGATTCCTTGGAGTTTGAGTTTGGAGGTAAACACTATCAATGAGCTAATGAGGATTGTATCAGCAAGAGTACAACATTCCCTCTGGGAAGGAAATACTCTTGCTGATTTTTTTACTAACTTGGTTTTTATTTTTGCAGGTGGCTTTCAATATAATCAATTCCAGGAACTTCCAAGTGAAGTCAAAAGAATCATTAAGCTAGACAAAGTTGGCACTCCTTATATAAGAAGAAGTTCCACAGATTAACTAGAAATCATCAAACTCTTAATTATATGAAAGGAAGGTGAAAGTAAACAGTAGTCACTTCTCTAGAAGGCAAATAACAAAGTCTGAAGAAATTTCATATGGTTATAGCATCATGCACCTGGTGAGAGCTTTGGGGTGTCCTTTTGATGCTAAATCAAGACTTGGTTGAGTAATCCTAGTAAGTTGCTACTGTCTTGAAGAGGATCCTTCTTCACATGTATCAAATGTACATGATATATTAGATCTCAATTTAGAGATTTTGGCCTGTAATTTAGTTTTTAGATGGTGGTATTAATCTCCTTAGAGATTCAACCCATCAGAAGCTAGATAAAGGGCAAAATCTAGATCTTGAGAATCTAAGTTCAGGTTCTTAGTAATGGAGGAGAGAGCTTTGGTTCTTACACATTGTTGAGGTTAGAGTTGGAAATGGAGAGGCAATAGGGGTCACTTACTGTGTTTTGATGAATTTGACATGCTTTTTCCAAGCTCGAGCTTGGATTTTCCTCTTCACTAAGGTATGATGAAGTCGAAATGAATGTACGGATTCAAGAGGTCAACTACAACAACAAATAAACAAGCTTATCAACGGAAAAAAGACGAAGTGGAAAGGTTAGTTTTTCACCTGTTTTTTCGTCTATGATTGGAGCAGTTTCGCCTCTTGAAGAACAAGCTTTCGGACGATTTAGAGGTGAAATGGTCGATTGATAGGTGGAGATGTGGATGAAGTTTTGAAGAGGACAATTCTTCACTTTCCTCTTTCCACTTTTAGTTCTGTCCAGATTTTAATTCTTTTCCTTTCTAATTTCTCTTTATTTGTTTGTTTATTTTTTTCTTTATTTCCTTCCTTTATTGATTGGGCCTGCTGATTTGGGCCTGATCATTTGATGTACATTGCTTTTATTTTGATTAATAAAATCTGGCCCTTTGGCCTTTTAGTTTAAAAAAAAAAAAAAAAAAAGTTGTCAACATTTTTGCAACACCTCTTAATATTCTCTCTCAGCAGAGCTACTCAGTGAATAAGTATCACAAAAAACAAGGAGTCATTTACATTATGATGATGCTAAGACAAATTAAGAGTCAAGGACTTATTGCATGCTTTTGTATACACTTCATAGTTTATTGTAGTTTTGGATTTTAAATGTAGGACTTTTTGCAAGTATCAATGTCTCTATTATTTATTATTAGGAAGTGTAATAGTCTAGATTCGTAGAGTTTTGATCTGAATCGCACATTGTTTTGATGTTGTTATTCGAAGAGTTAGCTTACTGACAAATGGTGGCACTATACGCAATACAAATGGTGTGACTATACGCAATAAAAATGGTGGGACTATACACAATGCTTCCCGAACTCATTACAGAGGTCCTCCTAAAGTTTTTTCAGAAAAAAACTTTTGAGTACTCCAGGGTGCCAGATCCATGGGGTAATACACACGAAAAAATAAAAAAGTCCGCTAATTTTTAAAAGTTGGCTCGTAAATACGAAAATACGTCTTTAAAAATGGTGGACTATACGCAATGTTTCCCCAACTCATTACAGAGGTCCTCATAAAGTATTTTCAGAAAAAAAATTAGGTGCTCCAAGGCGTCAGATCAATGGGCTAATACACATGAAAACCCAAGAATGTCGGCTAATTCCTAAAAATTGGATCGTAAATGTGAAAATATGCCTTAAAATTGTGGGACTATACGCAATGTTTCCCAACTTATTACAAAAGAAATAGGGATATCATGACAACAAAAGGGAAAAATCAAAAGAGACAAGATACATATTGGTGCTGGAAAATAACATGATCATGAGTACATCAAACACAATAGAAACACACAAGTATATTCTCAAATCCTTTCCCTGATAACCATGAAGGAAAAAATCAAAGCAACAAGTCCAGCCACCGCGGATGGGAAAGAACTGGTGATGGCACTCCCGGGGTCCATCGGAGCCGCCATTGGTCCATGGTTGTGGCCTTCATGGCCAGCCACAGAAACCACCATGATCAAAACAATAGCAATGATGAAATTGAACACCTTGAATGCCATTATATTGCCTTCTCTTCAAGATTATTATCAAATGTTTGACAATGTTTAATTACGCCTTCATTCAACATGTTTATATAGAAATATTGTTTAAAGGGTGTCGAAATTCCATCGTACTAGTATTCATTACAAGTTTGTACTTTGTACTATCATTATTCTTATTTGATTTCTTCCATTGACTTAGCTTTCACCCTTCTAACAAAGGCAAATTATTGATCATAATCTAAAAAGTCTACTGATTGTGATATTATTATGTTATATTTTTAAATTGAATGACTGTCATATTATTATATGTATAATTATTTTATTTTTTAAAAAAATTATGTGTGAATACATGGTTCAAGCTAAGGTCAACTAAGGCATTGAAGAAACGAAAATATATTAAAGAGACATAATGTTTAACATCGTTTAGTTAATTGACCTATATATGATAAAACTAATATAACAGATAACATAAAAATTATTGAGAGAATAGTTTTTTTTCTCAAACTAAAACTCTTTAATGATTATGTTATGAATGTTATTGTGTCTGAAAGAAAAATCTTTAATTTATAAAAGTCCAAAGAAAAAATCCTCCAAGAAATTGGTTACCCAAATATAAAAGATTTATATTTTTGTTTTGAGGAAAGAGTAAAAATAATAACTATGGTAAGCTCTTTGTCAATTCAAATAAGGTAAGAAAGTCGAAATCAATTCAAATAAGGTAAGAAAGTCGAAACAACTCAAAACCTAACAAAAGGTAGATAATAGAGATAATCTCAACGAGTTAGAAGGGAATTTTAATTTTATTAGTATAGTTAATTAGTTTGAAGCCATGACACATATTATATATATAGCTAAATATATTATCTAGGGATAAAAAGAATTTAGTGAGCTGCACGGATTGGAAGAAGTCCAAGTAAACCTTAGAACAATTATTATAGTATGATTAGATGATATCGACTGGTTTTTAAATATTTGATATTAATTTGAGACTTGAAAATAAATATATTTTAGGAATAGTAAAAAAATTGTTTCAAATTGAGCTGATTTCCTTATTCCATTCTACTGGCACATGTATTAAATAAAATATTCGTACTCCGTTTATGTATTTTCGAACTATCTAATGAAATTTTTTCTCTTAATATTTCCTCTATTTCAAAATAAGTGAATTGATAAGACAATTTTCATAGTTCAAATTAATTTAATTGTTCAATTTTCAAGAATAATTTTGAAAAATTCTTCATTTTTTATCCTTCATTTGAATTTGCAATATGATGAGTTCAAAAGGCTTTAATTGCTTGGTTAGTATTGAGAGTAGCTATCATAATCAATGTTTAGTCACTGTAAGGAGTAATTTGACAATAATTAAAAAGAGAAAATGGAAAGTAATATCTTAAAAGTTATTTTTTAAAAGGTATATAATACCCCAACAATTCACTCACTTATTTTGAAATAGAGAGAATATTCTTGTTGACACGTAAAATAATAATTTAAAGTTTGTTCAAAATCGTTACGATAAAGTTAAGAGTGTCCCTTAAGTCTTTTTGCAATTTTTTTATTATTCAAGCAAGAGTTATTCACCAATAACTATTTTATTTGATTAAAGGTAGATGAAATTGCAATTTTACAATGACACAACACACGTGCATGTACACCTCCCATGTCATAACACAGTTAAATACACACCCTTCTCTTCAACATTATTTTCAAATGTTTGACTTTTATTTATTGAGAAAATGGACCAAACCCCCCTTTTCTATAGCTAAATTTTCAACTACACACCTATATTTTGTGAGTATTCTATTAACTCCTTCAACTATATTTAAAAACGGAATTAATGTCATCCTATATGTTGAGGTGGCAAAGAAAGTGTTTTCAATTTCTCAAAGAGAGTAAGAGACAACTTTTTTTTTATTAAAACTTTAACTTTGCAAATAATTTGTCCTTTTCATATTAAGTTTCTAATTTTTTTTTTAAAAAAATATGTTATCTTTTAATTTTATTTATCTTTTCTTTTTAATTGTTTTCATCTTCTTTCTTTTTCTCTTCAACCCTTCTCCAGATTTAAGTCGCCGGAAAATGCCATAAACTTATTTCACTGTTCAGCTGCCACTAATGCTATCTTTTTCCTCTCTCTTTTTCGGAAGAAATTGACTCCCCTTCTTTTAATCATAAACTTCTATTTTTCATTATCATACCACCAATTTTACCGCTGCCATGTCGCCATTTCCACCTTTCTTTTCCAGATCTAAAAACCCTCTGACTATCATAGTTCATATTGTTATGAATTTTGAGTAATAGTAGATAAAGAAGTATTTAAAAGTGAAACGAATAGATTAATTTCTTCTAAAACAATAAAATATACCTTTCGTAGATAGTGAGATGGCAACTAGATTAAAAATAGCAAAAACAATTTTTATACTTCAAATCACAAATTCACTTTGAATTTTCCTATTATCTCCAACTCCAATATGCCATCCACTTTTCGAAAACTAAATGACCACCCGAACTTATCAATCCTGTCATCTAATTCTTCGGTTGACCGACTCAACTTCGATTCAACGATATTATCATTATCACTTGAATGAAACTTCACTAAAATTATGAAAAAGAAAATAAAAAATAAAGAAAGAATATACAGAAGAAGAAAGAAATAAGAAGGTAATGTGCTTGTGAATTTCATATCAATGGAGAAAAAGTATCAAAGAAAAGTCAAAAGAGGATTAAAAACAAAAGAGAAAAATAGAAAGGAAAATATAAAATAAAGACAAAGAATAATAACTTTTTTACTAAAAATAATAATATTATATTATGTGGCAGAAGAGTGTATCTCTCTTCTTAACATGAATCTGGGTATAATTTTTTAAGGGGAATATATTTCACTTTTAAAATGTTCAGAAGGTAATAGGATACCCATAAAATTGGAGTGTGTAGTTGAGATTCAGGTATAAATGGGGGTGGGGTGGAATTTGGACGATTTCATCTTATTTATTTGAACAAATGACAATGTTTGATTACTCCTTCATTCAACATGTTTATATAGAAATATTGTTTAAAGGGTTTGGAAATTCCATCGTACTACTATTCATTACAAGTTTGTACTTTGTAATATCATTATTCTTATTTGATTTCTTCCATCGGCTTTCATCCTTCTAACAAAGGCAAATTATTGATCATATTGATCATAATCTAAAAAATCTACTGA